ACAGCCTGAGCCAGTCCCGGTCTTCCCTTCGTGAAACGCTGCTGTTGCGGGGTAGAGCCAAAATACCCAAAATACCGGCAAGGCCCTCGGGAGCCTCCGGCGTCTGTAAGCCCGCTGGGAGGCCGGGGGAGCCGGAGCACCCTGGCAGGCACTGTGTGACAGCCCCGCTCGCTTCTTACAGCTGTAACTCCTTCGCTTTTGCTCGATTTCTTGGGTATTTTTGTTTGTTGGCTTTATAAGCAGGCCGACATCCCGGGGATGGGGGTTTGTGGAGTTTGAAGCTATTGCAGAGATGCGCTGTTGAGGTGGCTTTGCCTGGGCAGCCCCGAGTGGTTTTTGTCGCCCGCGGTGTCCAAGAGCACCTTGGTTATCAGCAGAATGTGGTTACCCCTGCTGGAGACCCGGCTTTTCGTGCCACACTGCCTTGCCTAGTGAATAGACAGAAAGCTCCATGGAAAGATCCCTAAAATACTTCATTATCTACTCAGAGTTTTTGATTCCTAGTGAACAGTGCAGTGAAACTCCATGAATGGCTTGAGCTTGTACCAGTGTATTCCCTGCTGACACTGCCTGCCAGGGTTTTTTTGATAAAGTACAAAATTATACTAATCGTTTTCATGAGAAATATTTAATAATGGTTTCACTGTTACTGCTCGAGTAGTAGGAGCTATTCTCTATAAGGTTTTTTGCTAATTGTAGGTTAGTACTCGTTCTTGTAAAGCTCTTCTTCCTTCTTTCCCTCTTCAGTGTCTGTAAGTGACTGGTAAGGTTTTATGTGGTTATTTTAGACAGTTTTAAAACAAAGAAAAGGACATAGTAATTGATCTTGTAGGTGCATGGAATTAACAGTTCTTGTCCAGAATGCACTAAAATGTGCTTTAAATCCACATGCTGGCATGTATCAGGTGGCTTCCTTCCCCTGTGTTTCTGGTGTTATCCAACGAGTTCAGGTTTTCATTCGCTTTTAGCCCAAAGGCTGATTTGTCCAATCCTCACTTGCTTTTCAGTTCACAGGTATAGTAGTTGGTAGGTATAAAAACTTAAATACTGGAATTTGGGTGTGATGATGTTTTTTTATTAATGAATGCTGGTTTTGTTCAAGTGAATCTTCTGCTGCCTTTACCAGGCGAGCACATCATCATAGTTTTCTAAACTTTATTTATAGATGTAAATTTACTAAACTTATGGTTTACTGGAACAAGCTCATAAACTAAAAAGGAGGAAACAAAACCTTGAAATCAGCATTTCACTTTTGGTTAAGAGGGCTTTTGTGAGCCCTTTAACGGGCAATGTATTTGTATAATCTCTAGGGGCTTGACCATGTGAGTATGTAGTATTTCCATCCTGGGTAACAGTAACATCTCCCTTCTGAGCACTGCAGAATGTTTCCTCCACATGAACTCTGGTTTGTGCTAGGTGATCCGAGAGATTATTGCCCTCCTGGCTACTGGAGCTTTAAACTGAAGTGAGTGGTTTGGTCTGGACTGTTTGGCTAAGCCGTGCTGGACGCAGTAACAGAGCGTACACTTGCATAATGTCCTGCTTATTCTCAAGTGCTTAAAGAAGTCGTTCTGTTCCCTTCCACGCACCAGCTTTGGCACTCGTCCGACTGCCCGGTGAGCCAGCTTGATTTATTAACTGGATCGTGGGGCGTGTGAGTTGAGCTGGGCTGTTGTACTGTGAGGTGAGTGCCAGAGCCAGTGCCAGGGATGGAGACCTCAAGTGAAGAGCTGGGGAAGGACACTGCTGCTTTTCCAGGCCAGCCGACTGTCACATTGCTTCAGCTGTTCTAGCTCCAGCACCCTAAAAAGCCAGTTTGTGCCCCTTTCTTTGGATGGCAGGCTGTGACAGAGGAGAGGGCAGGGCTCTGCTGTGAGCTGTGGCTCTGGACATTGCCAAGTGTGATTCAGCCTAAAGGCCCTCTTAGTCTCCTCTGGGATTTGTCCTGAGGTGCTAAAAAGTTAATATGCGACATGTGATGCTTTCCTAAGCCCCCTCTGTGAATGTAATCTGTACTGCGTGCTTGTGGGGTTAGCGAGGGGACGCTGAGCCTTTAGCTGTGCAAATATCTCCAATGCATCTGTTCAACTAATGACTGAGCTGCAAGGAGATTACTGTATGTGAGCTGGTCACCAGCTTTGTATTGAGCTGAAGTAACTTAAATATTGGCATCAATGTGTGCTTATGCCACTTGTAGTCAGAGCTGGCTGTTTGCAGGGATGGTGGCTCAGGCATGGTTGGTTTCTTATTTTCAGGTTGTTAGAGTTCAACTGTTGAAACTTGCCTTGCACTAAAATATGGCAATTTGTAGAACCAAAACAGTTCCCCTACTTGCCTCCTCATCTAAAAGCACTCAGATCTGTGAAACTAAATAGTTATTGGTACTTTGTGATTTATCTGGACTTGAGCTAGAGAATGTGCTTCTTTGACACAGATCAATTGATACTAAAGCTCGTTGAAGAGACCTCTGCACTCTCTTGGACTGTAGTTCTGTGACTTCACGTTTTTCCAAGTGCCACAGGCAATCCTCCTCTCAGCTGAGGGACATTTGCTGTCACAGGTCACTGAGGGGGCAGAGAAGCTTGGGATCACATACTCGAAAAGTGGTGGTTTAAACTGCTTTGAACTGTTGTGGTAGCTCCCCCTCAGATTATTTTCAGTGTTGCTTTGCATTACCTAATTATGGGAAGCTGCCAAGAGGGTGGTCTTGATCCTTCCTTCCACTTGGGCTTGCTTTCCCTCAGTCCTGCTTGTACCAGATCTCCATGAAAACCTGTTTATTTTCCAGAGGAAGTGCGATGGGAGTGAGTGTGGTTGCTTGAGTCAGTGCTTTGATGTGGACGATTGTTCAGGAGTGCCAGTGCTGGCTGGAATTGGTAACTGGAGTTGGGGAAATGGGGTGGGACTGCGCTAGGTGCCCCTTGCAGTAGCACTTTGTGCTGATTCTGGTTTCAGAGTCACCTGGAAGTGTGCTAGCTTGGCTGTCACACTCTAAACCTCATCTGTGAAGCGTGGTTTTACACAGCAAACAGTGGTTCACAGCAGGAGCTGCAGCTTCTGAAGTGCAGTAGGAAGTGTTATCCTGCAGGGAGGGGGAAGGAAATCCCTTGGGGTGTCTGCGCTGCCAAAGGATTCATCACAAAAGTGCATCCCAGTGCAGTGCTTACTTGCTTTAGCACCACTGAAATAGTATCAGTGACTGCTCTACTAAGCCAGGAGTTGGTCAGCCACTTCAGGAGGCTGTTGGGTTTGTAATCTGGTTGAGCCCTGAGCATGCAGGCATTTAAAGCATCTTGTTCAGTACGTGAAATGCAGCACAAAGAGCAGCTAAGCTTGATTGTACTCATATCTTCATCTGACGTTGGATAGATCCTTGACCGTACCATCAGCGCTTGTATGCAAGTGCAGTTTGGGTCCTTGAAGAAAATATTTCCAAGAGAGAATAATTGTTGTAAATGTTACCCAGGAATGCTCATTGGTAGTAGGTTTGTTATGCAGTGCCCTTGGTTCTCAATTCATGTTTAGCGTTGCATATCTTAACAAAACCGAACCTTACATCATATCTGCAGTGGCTTCTTTGAGGAGGGTTATCCTTAAGGGTGCCTTAGCATTGGGACTCAGTTATTCATTGCACTTTGTCACAGCAGAGGTTTTTTTCTGTATTGTTATTATTTTAGTGGAATTTTAAAACACACTGGTATTTGACTAATGGGAATTATTAGATCTCTTTCATCTTTTATGCATTAAAATCGCAGTCCCATTGCGTATTTGTGCACTTGTGCATAATCAAAAAGAACAGGTTTTATGTTCCAATAAAGTAAGCATAATTTGCTGATATGGTTATTTTTTCTCTCAAATATTTTGAGTTGTACCTTTACAATTTTTAAAGGTTAAAATATTTTCCAAGGGGAAAGCAAATTCTCCAGTGTTTTCTGCTCTACAGGCCTAATATTTGCTGTTGGTGCTTTGACAGCCCATGCTAAAGCTTGTGCTTGCTTGTTTAGAGAGTTGATGTCCAGTGTGAAAAGGCACCTCTGTTGTATGTAGGCTTATATTTGCTATATGGGCTTTTGTGCCTTTGGTAGAAAAACAACAGGCATTATGTATTGAAAAATTTTAAAAATATTTACTTCAAAACTTGGTTTCTAAGCAAGTGCAGGTGAAGTTGGTATAAGAGCATGCAGACATAGAATTTAACTATTTCTTCTGCTACAGAAATGATGACTTTGAAGCATCATTTAAAGTGGCAAATGAGTTATAATGATTCTTCTCTCTAATTTTCTTTGCGATGTCTTTAAGTGCTACTTAGGGTTAAATTCATAGCAGCCAGTCAGTTAATATTTTTGAATGGTCCTACACTTGCCCTCTATGAAGCAGAGTTTTAAACTTTTAATTCCTTACTTCATAATTGTGACTCGAGCTCCGTTTTGTTTTGTGAGTGCTTTTGAGAGGCTTCAGCCTTTGTGCCCCTCCCATGGGCTGTGAGGTCTGGCGAGGGAAGATAAAGCAATTTGAAATTCATAAGAGGGGTGAATGTGTCTCGCAGTTGAAGCTGCAGTACTGACTATAACTGCATGAATTTAGTAAGGACATAAAATATTTTCAAGTCCTCTTGTGAAATATAAAGGATAACTGAATGTAAACAGTTCTCAGTGTTTTTCAAGACTTCTCATTCCTTTAGTTGATTGAAAAATCTTATTTGCTTGTTTCCTGGGAGGGAAAGGAGATGTTAAAGGTTTCCAGCTCCTGTTTGAAGTCAGTATAGGAGCTGACTCCGTATCTTTCAACCCACATCTTTGAGTTGCACTGAGAACCAAACCTAACTTCAACACATTTTCCTGATACCACTCCTGTTGTACAGATACATTTTTGCCTCAGTGGTAAATAAATGAGAATGTCAGTAGTTCTGTCAGGCTGAAGCAAGGTATTTTGTTTAAAAACCCATTCTGTTTAGAGAGGAGGGAAACCCTTTAATTCTTCTCTTTTTTTTCCTTATGCAGGAATAAAGAACTACTCTAACTGGCCTACCATCCCACAAGTGTACCTCAACGGTGAATTCGTTGGTGGCTGCGATATACTCCTCCAGATGCATCAGAATGGAGATCTTGTGGAGGAGCTGAAGAAGTTGGGAATCCGCTCAGCGCTTCTGGATGCAGAGAAAGACCAAGACAAAAAGTAAAACAAGCAAAAAAAAAGATGCTGTGATGGGAATAAAGCAAATCTTCGATAAGAACTTGTGACCAGTAAAGCCTTACGTACTTTAGCTCAAAGAAGGCATCTTTCTGAACTGACACTAAGATTTCTCTGTGAATGTCTGTTAGCTCATGGTAAATGTAGTGATTTTGGTATTTTGATTCATGGATATTGTGAAAAACTGAGTACAACCACTGCACTGTAAAGCATACGTTTGTGGAAATTGTGTTCAAAGGAAAAAAGAAAGGCAAAAATTCACTTCAGAAAGCATTCACTTCTTGATTGAGGCAGGAGTAAACCAAAAGAACTAATAATACTCTTATGGATTTTGAGTGTGCGTTTCTCTGTCCTTTGATACATGAACCCGTGCAAACAGTGTTTGCATTCCCTTGCTCCTCTTGAAAGTGTCAAGTAATAGTGCATCAGTTTTGCTGTGTAACTCCTGGTGATAAGACTTCCTGAGAGCCTGTAAAACTTCTGTAATCAATATGATATAGGAGAAAATAGTCTTCAACCAATATAGAAGCAGAAGATTATATCAGAGTGCATGAAATATACTTCTATTCCAAAGCGTAAAATAAACAGACTTGTAGAAATACATGTATAATGGTCATTATTACTTTGTAACTGTCTGAGTTTTAAAAGATTGCTAAGAATTGTGCCTAAAGATTTTTATAAAGCCTTTTCTACCTCTTGCAAAGCAGCTTTGCCCCCTGCTTATTCTACACTCTGTGTATTGCAGTTCTGTCAGTGCTAAAACGCAGGAATTGTTTAAGGCTTCAGTGTTCTCACTTGAAATCGTATGGGAGGGTGCTTCAGTTACTACTGTAATCTTGTATTATCTGCTAGTTACTAAGTTATCTTTTTATATTTGTTGTATTTCCAAGTATTTTCTCCTGACTGCGGTGCTTCAAAGAACATGGTCTTCAAACGTGAGGTTAACAAATGAAATGTTTCATGTAGATGAGTACAGCAGGGAGGTGACTGAATAGCTAAATATTTCTTTGTGGAAAGTCTCTGAAATCTTCAATACAATCTAACCACATTCCCCTATGTTAAAACAAATCACATTAACCATTGCAGCTTCACCTGTTCAGCAATACTGCTAAGGTTAAAAGCTAACCAAGCCGTTTCTAAATGCAGCTTACTTTTATTAATATAAACCAGTTGTGTGCATGTGAATTAGGCAAATGTTTGGAAATAAACTGTATTTTATGATGATTGTCTACAATAGTTGCTCTTTATTTTAAATGACTGATGAAACTGTTACTACTTTTGGTTTGAAACCTAAAATGTTTTCCACTGCATAGAATAGAAAATGTGTCTTAGAGAGAGGAAAGATGAGAACTGGTCAGAGGAAGTCATAGCTGAAACTTGCAAGCAAGAGAGATTTGTTGCCAGTTCTAAATATCTCCTGTCCACTAAAGCAAGCTGTCCAGTGGAGAAACTGTGCTGGTGCATTGCTCACAGAATGGCCAGACTGGCCACAGTAAGCTTAGTGTATAGTTTTAATGCAGTCAGTAGTAGCAGGGTTAAATACAGTGTGTGCGTGCTCTGTGTGCTCACTTGTTCACAGTGCCCAGTGCCGGCAGAGGGGCCAGAGCAGCCACTGAGTAGGAACAAGTTACACTCAGGAGCAGTCACTTTGGACTCTTAGGGATGGAAGTAAGAGTCTGAGATCTTCTTGTTCATAAGCCACATCACATTCATGAAATGCAAAGCTTTAGCTGTACATGAAGGTTCAGTCTGAGCATTTCAGCGTTACCGCTCTCTGAATTCAAATTAAATAAGCTTTCTTATGGCCAATATTTCATGAGTGTTTTTTGTCATTCTGAATGCAAAATGATGTTTAGATAAATAAGTGAAATTCAAAAATCTTTGGTTATTGGTGTCAAAAGACCTGTTGAAATGGATGTACACAGTAAAGAGAGAATAAGGTAACAAAGAAAATGAAATTATTTTCTGTTTCGGTGGTTAACTCTTGTTCTGCTCACTAAATAAATCTATTAAAACCCAAACCCCCAAATCTGCTCTTTCGTAGAGTTCTAGTCTTATGTGAAAACTGAGTACCCTTCAGTACTATCTGCTAGTAGTTTAACATGAAGGTGACTCTCGCATTGTCAGGTCTTTTTCCACTAAGCAGCAATTTTTTCCTCCCAGAATGAGTTCCTGCTTTTACCAAAACTATGAAAAATTTTCTGCTTTCTCTACTTCCTTCCCCTTAGACCTTTTAGGTTTCAATTACTTGGTGAAAATTTTGCATAACTAATAGTGTAGTGTTCACATCAATCCTCTACCTGATTGGGATGTGTTGTGATTGAGTAAATAAAAGCACCAGTGATACCACGAAGCGTGTGGCAAAGCCACAAGAGTGGGAATTTAAAACGTGATTTCTGCCTGCATTCCTTTATGAGCTCCATCCTTCCAGGCTCTGTGTGCATGAGCAGCTCTTGTACATATTGCAGCTCTATGAATGCTTATGTTAATCCAACTGCAATAAAATAACCACTATCTACTTAAATTATAAAACTTCAGATGCTTATAAAGAGGCTTATTTTGGGAGTTGATTGAAAGTATTTTCCCCAGAAAGCTAGTTCTCAGTTACGTTGATCATTTTAGAAGATGGGTGGTATTCATCAGCTTAAAGCTGCCAGGCAGAAAAGGAGCTGGG